GTTTCCGAGCGGTTTTAAATGCATTGCCATCACAATGCTCCCCTATCTTGCAATAACACCAGGACACGATAGTATGTAGATGGCTCCGTTCAAGAGCACTTTTGATAGGGAAACGTCACATCCTGTCTAATTTTTCGTTCCTGTTCATCCATCATTGAAACTCCTCCACCGTCAGCCCTTTGCGAAAATATCCATTACAAAGGTTCAGACTATTTCTGGGCCATTGCTGGCCCAAATCTCAAACCACCACTGGAGTTTTTTTTTACAGTACACCGGTATTTATCGAAAGCGTACTTCAAATGAGTCGCTAACGTGTTGTTACGCGCTCCTTTTCTCATCTCTAGTAATGAAGAACACCAAACTCCAAGTTCAGCCTTATGATTAGCCTGGTGCGCAATCACGATCAGTAAGACTCACTCCACTCCTTGAACCAAGCTCGCAGAAACGCTTAGAAGAGGGTCGTAGGTCGAGACCCTTCCCCTTCGGTTCCTGAGACAGTGCATGTGATTATAGTGCATGCTGACGATGAGCACGTTGTATTTTTATCACTAGGCAAGGGAGGAGAAGCACCCAACTTCCTTCTAATTTCACGGCTTGGAAAAATTCAGATGATTTCGAGTCGACACATTTTTTACTTACCAAAAATTACTGAAGTTGCCATGGCTTTCTATTATGATGTGGACAAATGAAATTTCAAAGAAAATCCACAGAAACCCACAGCTTCTTCCAAGTTCCCAACGTTATAGCCTTCCTTAACTGAGATTTTTACGGCTTTCTAGCGACATTCTAGTAGGAGTGAGGAAGCTTAAAGGAATCTTCCACGGAAAAACATCGCCTCCATTCCTACAAAAAAAACGATACCTTAGGCCCCTTGCTTCATGAAGATAGCAAAAAGAACGGAACATAGGCGATGGTTTTGATAATAATTATGATAACCAGTTCGACTATGAAAATTTTGAATTCCCGCTGTAAAACTTCCACAACTGTTAGCGGCGTGGAGTCAACACGTGCAAACGTGTCAAAAGCGTGAACGTGAACTGGATTCATGTTGGGCCCTTCCCATAAACTGACACGTGGATCCGCACCTGCCACGCACTTCGTCACAGAAGCACTTCCGGTCCCGCCTACTGGTCCAATCCGGTCCCACAGATGGGTCTTTCCAAGGGCTGTTTCTCTTGGGGGTTTCATCATTTTCGCTCTGAACTTTGCATATGGTCTTCAATGACCATGCCCAACACCTGTACACAAGGAAAGGATAAGCAGTCTTTCCGTGGAAGATTCCTTTAAGTTTTGAGCCTAATGGCACCTTCCCTGCTTTGCTCTTTGTCCAGCATACAATGGAATTTGCTCAGCAGTATAATCACTACTGTTACTCAATGCAGTGTCCCTCCCACCTAATGGGCAGGTCGGTGATATCCTTCCCCAGGAAGCGGGATGCCTGGGAAAACTTGAGATTTGACAGCAGTCCGCAAATTTGTCATTTTCAGAAGCTCATGGCTGACTCAAAAATGCTCACAGGGTGAAGCCGTGGGTAGCTGAAGTCTTTTGAGGCGATTACCATGGTAACAAATGCTGACAGCCGCGCTCATTGATTTCATCTCCCATTGTCGAAGTAGGTGAACTTGGGCGAATCCACGAGGCCAAGTACCGTGAAATGTCCTTCAGATCCCACATAATCAAATGAGCTTTATCCATTCTGAAATGGGAAGTCTGACCGCTCAGTGATTTGCCTTTCTTTCTTTCTCAGCTCATTTCTCACTTCTAGGCTTCACAGGATGATGTACTGCTGACCTTACGAGGCTATACCATTTCGGGCTCCAACATACCCTTTTCTTCTTCAATATTATTTTTCCGTGAAATATTATTCAGTTCCTGTAACAGCTTACCAGCTTAACTTCAGGAAATGTTATTGAAGTGGGGTTAAAGAGCGCTCGCGGACACAGCCTCTTTCCAGTCGTGCTAGATATTTATCGCTGAGATTCGTTTTCAGAGAAACGACAGTAGCTCTGTTCGCTCCGATGCTGGAAATAAACCCGGTCGTGGTTGGACAGAGGTGAACCGAGCCTTCACCATGAATGGTCTCAACGGTGACAAGGACGAGTTCCCATTGTAAGTTCATTTTGAAGTACTCAATACTCTCCTGCGCTCCGAACGCACCTTCTTTCATTCCATTCCTATCTCTCAATCTTGTTGTGATCGATTTTGATTCCTTCCTGTCGCGCGAAATGCTATTAAAAGTTTCGATGCGCTCTGAAGTCATCAACTGAGCTTGGAAGGACCATTTCTGTCAAAATCCGGGTTTTCAGGCGTAAATTTATGCGAAAACCTCGCACTCCCTCAGATGACTATTACTATTCCTATTTCTTCCTATGCTACCATCATCAGATTCGCCCTATTTGTACTGCTGTGCAGCGATGGAAGCACAAACAAGAACCTAAAGGCATAGATCACGACAGATTCTGCATCCGATTCTACCCAAAAATCATGAATTGTGGAACATATAAAGACTAGCAGAGGCCAGAGTTTGGGTGGATCTCGTAGCTCGTAGGAGAGCAGGAATTGAAAGGAAAAGCTCTATTCTACCGGTATTTTCTATCAAGACTCCAGGAACCTAACTTTCCTACTTTGGTTTGGTCTGAAACCATTAACTTCCTCTGAGAGAATCTGTTAGCTATTGCTCACTGGAACATGAATTGAATTATAAAGAACTCCTGGACTGGGATGCGCCACTCCATCGTCTGCGGTGATTGTAGCAGTGGACAGTTCAAAGCCTGCCCTCCTTTAGCACTTTGCCATGCCTTGGTTCCTTCAAATTTTGTGACCGCTACCGTATTTGCGACATCCTCCCATCTCCTTTCATTGGCCAAATACGACTCCTTCGATAATCTTTGCGCAACGGGAAGCTGCTCGTGATTGCGTCTTCTGCGCTCGGGGACCCCTATTGCTCACTCTTCTTTACACCTAATCCCGATCCTGGCTTTGAAGGAATCCTTCACGGAAAAATCATGATTCTATTTCAATCATAAATTACTGGCTTGAGACTCATATAGAAAAATTGCATTTTTTGGTAAAAAAAATTGAAAATTGAAGGGTTGCTACGCGTTCAAAGTACCGCCGCACATCTGTCACAAATGCTGGCGACGGGAATGCTTCCACTTGGTTCTTGGAGTGCCTTCACTAGAAACTCTTTCTGGCCTTTTGACTTATTGCATTCACATCTTACACTTCTACTCCATCCTATTCTATCGATCGATTTGTCTCTACTCTCCGAAATCGCGCTTTAACCCGATTCTTTCATTGCGTCGCCTGATACGTAGCCGCCCAAACGGACTTCTTTCCATGCCTCGCCTTTGGCTCCGCCCGAATTACCTTCGATTGTCCATAGAGTGTAGTTTTTGTACGTTTGTTTCTCTTCGGAAACCGAATCTTCATGCGTGAAACTTTGTGTGCTGTTTCCAGTGATCACAACTGACACATTCAGTATGAATGTGGGAAGGAGCTGAAATGTTTTGTAAAGCGGACAGCTCTCTTTCGGAATGTATAAGAAATGATGAAAAACTTAGAAGCCTAGAGCAAGGTCTCCATCTGTGAAAGAACGACATTACTTGTCGGACAACCTAATAAATTGTAACGCATCTTGACTTGACTTTTCGGTACAGTCTCTCGTGTCTCTCGATGTCATCTAACCATAAACTCTGTGATAGCTCTGAAGAATGGTTTTCGTATAAAAGCAATCTTTCTGCAGTGAAATCCCGGAACTTCCAAGTGGTCACTTACTGCGTGTGGATCTGTTGTCAAACTGGGGTGACGCTACTTATGTCGGCTTAAATGCTATCGAAATTTTCACGGATAGCGGAAAGCGGTCAGAAGTGGCCAAGGTATGCTATGCAATCCCAAACATCCCTCGCTCCCTCGACTTTGACATTCATTACAGATCTCTTCAAATGCAAGCCGATCTGTGGGTAGTGTGGAGTCGATCTTCGTCGAGTCTTTCGCATGTACGGATCAGGGGAAGATGTGGAGGGCCGAGATGGAACCCGATCGTTGTGTCAGCATTGAGATTGAGTTCGTTCAGCTCACCCGGATTGCCATGATCCGTTTCTGGGTGGGTTTGACTCGGATAGAGCCCTTGGCACATTGAATTATTCGATATGCACGTCTTGTTTTTATTTGTTAACTGCTGTTTTTGGCCGCAGTTCGCCTTGCGAATGTTTCACAAGAATGCTGGGTTGTGAACAAAACTTTCGCCCCAGGCGGGAACCCGCACCTCTCGCTTCAAAGCGAGAGGTGCGGGTTCTAGTCCCACCTCGGGCGAAAGTTTTGTTCACAACCCAGCATATTTGTGTGATATGCACGTCGTTGCAATAAATATTAGAGCACAAAGAACGATTAAACATTTAGCGTGCTTATTGTTAACGTATTCGAGATGGACTTTCTTTGTGCTCCTCGAGGAATCTGTTACTGATAAGCATTTAACACCGAGCGATGAGTTATTTTGCAGAATTAAAGGGAGACCATCAAGAACTTATAGGACGGGAGCAAAACGTATGAAAGGGCCAGCCGCGTGCTGCGAGGTGGGAAAATTGGAAGCGGTTGAAGCGGACTGGGCAAATCAGTTTCATTGCTGCATATTCCGCGAAGTGATGGGCGCGACAACCGTGGACGACTATTTTACATTCCACCCTGCCAACGGATTGATCCACCAGAAATCATCTCTTCGTCTATTTTAGCTGAATTCTATCCACAGACCATGCGTACTTAGGTCCTCCCTCGAGCTTATTCATGGAACACTGGGTCTAGTGCTAAGGAAACTAAAACAAGGGGGTCCTGCAAAGTGCAACACAAAGCTGATCTTTCTGTGGGACGAGAATATTAGTCGAAAAACCCTTCACGATAGGTGAGACTGACGCTGACCAAAGGCTTGGAGGGACTGCAGTGTGGAAGAAGCCGAATAACCCGTTTTCGAACACGTTTGCGACAAACTTTCAATAATCAGGTTATGGAGGAGTTGATGAAAGGAAAAAATTCAAGTTTTTCTTGCACCTTCCATTTCACCCTACAGAACGAGGGTACTACAATAGTTAACATTGCTTATACGGATTCACGAACTTCAAGTTAAATCTAGCCCACTCCTTGCCTCCTTTGAGCCCGTGAGTTGGCGCCGGTGTCGTTTGAACTGGCAAAAACGCTGACTTACGAATGTCTAACAATAAAAACTCCTGTAAGGATAATTTGGGTTGATTACATACGTTAATTATTACATTCCTCTTTCACAGTGATAGGGTGAATAGGGAGCGTGACTCGAAATGGGGACCATCAAAACTGTGTAATTCTTTATTTTCAGCAATGCGCAGCTGGATGTTCCAGGAGTTCATGTAAATAGTTTCATTGCAGAACTACAGCGAGTCACGAGTTCATGCTCAAATGGGAGTGCGACATCTTCGAGCCGAGCTGGACAATCTCACCATTTTCGACGGGGAGATCGACTGTGCTTTTGCCGACCATGACACTGTACCCATGGGAGAGGTGTGCAGACATTTTCGTTTGAATGAAATGGAGCTACCCTTATGCTGGTTACCCATTGATTAAGCCATGTCCCATCACTTTTGTCCTTTAGAGAGAACATTCACTTTATGCTGGTATGACTGATATGTGGCGCTGTTGGGAAGACTTCATGGGAAGAGTCCATGGGAGTGATCTTCACTCAAATCCAGCAAAATTCGAGATTCCCAAGATTCTGGAAGACAGCGATTACGATGGGTTCTAGAGGGGTTGGCAGGGGAAAAGGGAAATCGTGGTGAGAAAAAGCAGAGAAACACACCAAGAACAGCGAAAAGAGGACCCTTTTGCTTGGTAGTTGATATTCGCTCGAGGACCCGCAGCGGCTCGGACGGCGAACGTGTGGACGAGTTTCCCGCAATGCGTTCGGTGCCACTATGCTGATCCGCGCGGGTGTGCGCCATATGGCGCGATCCCATTGGCGTTGGAGCGCACAGGCCGAATTGACACATCCTGGTGCGGTATTCAATCCTTCCCCAGGGGATATATCCCCCTACTCTGATTCAATCCTCTGGGGGGAACAAAAAAGGGTTGCGTCATAGGACCTCCATACCTCCGTGGCGCGTCGAAGGGCAGAAGGCGGTCGCATGACTCGTGTTTCCATGCCTGCGGCAAAGACAGTTCGACGCAGCACTTTACCGACTCACGTCACGAGATGAACATCTCTTAACACCCTGGGGACTCGCGCGCCTGCTCTACAAAAACTGTCTGGCAGGTAGAAAACACAGAGATTGTTCTAACCGAGGTCCCCACACCCAACCCTCACCATGTGTAGCCTGTGCGAGCGAGAGATTGGATCAGAAGGAGGGTATTCAAACCCATCAGGGGAAGAGATTAAGCAGATACCGCTCCTGTTGTGCACGCGAACAGAGCTCGTGGCCGCGGCGCATACACTGCTATGTCCGCGTCCGTCTGAGGCCCTCTGGCCAAAAACAACTGAACACTTCACGACTCCATATTATTCCTAATATTTAGTACCAGAGGTAGAGGAGACCACAAATTACACGGGGAGCGGACAATTACTGGAAGTCTAGATAATGTGAGGTGGATGCGGGAAGACGAGCGGTGTGTCCTGCCGAGGCCGATGCAGCAATGGGCAATTGCCTTGTAGACCTGCGTGTGATCGCGCTCTAAAAAAATGCCAGCTCCAGTTGTGCGCTGCTGGCAACGCAGCTCGTCCAAATCACCAACGCTAGTGGTCGGATCGCTTTTGAAGTGGAGTCTTTCGGAGTCTGCCCAGCAATCAGCGCACCCTTTTGTCGTAAAAGCACCACACCTCGCTTCGGGTCTCATCCCGATAAGAGGGGGCATTGCGGTGCACGGTCTGCTCTAATGCCAATTTGGCTCAAGGAGTCCTTTAAAGTTACGAGCTGCTATCAGCTTTTTTCCTATGTTATTTCTTCAGGTGTTTTTGTGTAATGTAGCTTTATAACCAGTTTGGCTGCGCACGCATTCGCGTGCATGAGACGGGGCTGCAGCGGTAAAATCGGGCCCATCAGTATTTTTGTCTTGATTTTAGCTTTCTGCTCGGTACATCTTACTTACGCCGCAAACTCCGCCCACATCCGGGTGTGCCACGCCCAGCGTTCACATTCAACCTCTACTCCTACTTTCACCTCTGGCATATTTTTTTCAGGTCTCTAAGTCATCTCGGAGCCGAATTATGAGGTCTTGTAAATGGCGTTATGAGTCACGAATTTCTGAGGCAGACCCCGCCCACTTTGGTGCATGTTAGCCCAACAATGGCATTCAACCCTAACTCCATACCTCAATCCTTAGCACGTTTTTCCCCGGGATCTGCGCGGAACTTCTAGGACCGCGATTATAAAAGGAGCGCGTTGGCAAAACTCCGCCACATCCAGGGTGTTGCCACTCGCCCCCACTCGAGCGTCTTCACATTCAACCTCTACTCCTACTTTCACCTCTGGCGTATTTTTTTTTCAGGTCTCTAAGTCATCTCGGAGCCGAATTATGAGGTCTTGTAGGGGACGAAATCGAGCAACGTATCGTTGTGGTAAACCCCGCCCACTTCGTTACATGCCTCGCTCACCGATACCAAATGACTATCATCTCTTCCCCAACCTCATTCTACTATTTTCCCATCTCCGGAACTTACTGGATCCCCGAAGTTTGAGAGCGCTGTAAAGCCAAACTCCGCCACTTTAAATGCAATGCTTCCACCTGCCCACAGCACTAACTGAATTGACCTCCGCTTCCCTCTGCCCAACAGCTTTATACCTTTTGACACCCAAACTCAAAAACCAACTTACCCCGGACTCATAGGAACCGAGTTATGAGGCTGGTTGCAAACTCCGCCCACTTTGGTGTAAGCTACGCCCAGCCTTGACATTTAGCTTCTCCTCTTCTCCTAACCTGTATCCACTGTTTTCAGGTTTCCAAGTCATCTCAGAGCCGATTTATGAGCTCTTGTAGAAAACGTCGTCTACATTCAGGCCACGGGGAAAGAGCTAGACGAGGCGGAGCGGCTCCGCCCGCATGATGAAATGACGACACATCCCCGTTCAACAAATGACATATCTAAGCTGGAAATACCTTAGACATCGCTGCCCTGCACTAATTTCTTTTCTGCTCTGTAGGCTTCCTCCTAACCTAGTTATTGATATTTTTATTGAGCACCGCTTTTCCAGAGAACGCCCCGCCCACCGAGGGTGGGTCTCCCCAATGCAATCTGGCTTACCGACGCACATTTATAACCACTTTTTGTTCCAGTCTCGAGGCTGTTTTTGACTGTATTTGGAATCAACCGATGCACGCCACGCCCACTGTGGGCGGGGCTCCGCTTGGCTGGTGTGTGTTTTTTACTT